AACTCTTAAATCAAGTGACTGTGGCATAGTGGAACCAAATATTCTGGCATGTTCTAAAAGATTTATGGTTGAAAAAGGTATCACGAATCTTGAGAATAAAGATGACATACATAGCATTAGCTAATAAAGATTTAAATCAACTTGTGCTAAATAAAAAGTCACTATGATGTTCATAATGATAAGATTGAATTCCATTAAGATGATATGGTATGGCTGTACAATCCCTGCCCTCAAGAAATGATGAACTGAAAAATTAAGCAGGTATTGAAAGGGTCATGTATTGTACTGAAAAGAACTAATGGTGGTACTTACAGAATTCAGAAGGGCAGGCAGTCCAAGCCAAAGGTTATCCATCATAACAGTCTTTGGAAGTACACCAGTGAGAGAACTGCAAGCTGGGTAACTTCAATAAATTTGCTTGTGCCCTGCTGAAGATCCTAAGGTTCCTACTGAGACCAATTCCAGAGGACTACCAAGGAAAGAACCACCTGGAGACATGCTCAAACAAGTAACAGGACAAAAGATGACAGGAAGGGTAAGAGGCCATTCTATCTGTATACTAAAATCCCTGGAAAATAAAATCGCCAAAAATACTTGGTAAATGAACAGTTTAGCATTGTTATATTTTGGAATTAGGACTTTTGAAGTAACTTCACAATCCAGGAAGGGAGCAGTGTTGTAAGCTATATTTTCAATATTTTGTTTTAAATTTTTCTTTGGTAGATGGAGCTGCTTATCATTATGTGGTGTAATACCTAGAATGTTCTGAATATTAAGGATCGACCAATTTTGTAAAATATCTAGAAACAAGGGTACATTATGAATACGGGCAATGAGTAATAAGAAGTCAAAGAGTAATCAATGTTTCAGTTCTATGTTAAACTGCAAAAGTTATCTCATCTATTCAGGTACTTGGTAAGCTACGTGTTTGTTTATTGATCAAAGCTAAATAAGTTTGGCATAGATACCATTAGCAAGAAATATCTGTTGAAATGTTGTTTATGAAGTTAGGCCTACAACTTGTGTCAAAGTGAACACAGCCTGTAGCAAACATTATAGAATAAGTTAATTAATTCTTTATCATTACATGGACTGGACTCCTGATTATTTTCACCAAATAATTTTTAAAAACCCACTCAATTATATAACACATTACAATATTATTTATGTACTTAAGTGTATTATGTATGTAAAAAGACTTTCCAAAAGAGCAAACTGTAATTTAAAACTTTGCACTTTCTTTTAATTATTTATTTTAAATCCTGTGGTAGAAGACTCTTCTAGTTTATTAACAAGCATTTAATACAGAAAACTAAATGCTTAACAAATATATCAACATTTCACATAAAATAAAAAATTTGAACATTCTCTGTTAAAATCAACAAATTCCTTTAAGATCTGCTTCTAAAAACTAATCCATGCTCAATGAAGTAAACCATAAATCTATTGATATGTAATAATGGAAAAACTTCGCATCTAAGGATGATACATAATGAATACATATATATCTTATCTATATAAACAGCACATTTTTTTCAAATTAATCCTTACATGACTGAGATTGCTAACACCCATCAGTGACCAAGCTGGATTTCATGGTTACCTTTTTTTTTAATTGAACATGAGCTGCACTACATAGCAGATACAAGCTAGACCCAATATTAATTTTTCTTAGGCTTTTATGATCATTTTACCTACAAATCATTAAAGCATAAGGAAGTCTATAAAATGGTTTCACAAATTAATATAAAAAATTATCTTCATTATAAAGCTATGTTTGAAACAGTGATCATTTATTCTGCATTCCCCCATTTTATCAAAAAACTAATTTTCATAAGTGGAAGTCTAGTGTGTTAAACAAGGTCAAACATTTTTTTGGAAGGAAATTTTCAAAATAATACAATATTATCACTAGCATTGGAACTTTCTCTTTATTCAGTAAAGAGTAAAACACAGTTTATAGTGAACCCCTTTTTGTGTTAATTTTATTTCAAAGACAACACTTCCGATTTAGTAGATGTTTGTAAATGTTCTACACTTTTTTTTCTTTTAGTGATAAAAATAGGTGAGATGATTACTTATTAGGAATGGGAGAAATATCTGATGTAATTCAATCAGACACAAATAGTTTTGTGATGAATCAAATAAACAAATAGCATTTCCATCAGCAAATAATTTTACAATGTTAAACCAACATGAAACTACTTGCATTTACATCACATGTAATAGGTTCTGCATCAACTACCCTAATATAAAATACTTATGCTCCACTGTGAGGTTCTAAAGCTCCTTATAATTCACAGAGATTCCAATCAAGCTTCTCCACCACTTCCAATTGTTTCTATAGCTTACCCTAACCCCTAAAAAAAGCTGATTTGTTAAAACACATGCCTGTAATACCTGTGCACAAGTGTCAAGTTTTTGGTCCCACTAGTAGAGGTATGAACATAATTTCAAAATAGTGCCCCTCAGATCTGGCAGAAAGGCCAGGAACCCTAATTCCTAGCCAGAGTTGAGTTCAATGAACCTTCAAACTTAGTCCTAGACCTACATCTTTTCTGGATAATCTTACAGGCATATTTTACCCCCTCCTCCCTTGTACCCAAAATAAATATGGGTAAGGAGGCTACACCATACAGATAAGAAACCCCCAATCCATCTGCTAAGTTTGTTCCTACAAGCTCCAAAACTGTAGGAGTTCAAAGACAAATTCACAAACACACAGCATGAATTAATACAAGATAGTACCATTTTTCCTAGTATTAAAGACTGGAGGCCCTGGTGGTTGTAATACAGATTGTTGTCAAACAAACACCACACCCTCACATTTTATTGCACCTATTTGGCCAAGGATGGAACATGAACAGCAAGCACAATTCAAATAAGAGTCTCAACAGAAAACTGGGAGTGTAAAACACTGTCACATTCCTGGAACTGTACACCTCCTTGTAGATCCTTATTAAAACAAGTTTAATACTATACTATAATGAAGTTGTAGCTCATACATGAGGCCACATCTACTATCTGATCCAAAAATATCCAAACTTGATCCGATGTCAGTAGCCTGTTAATGTTAAACTTTAGTAGTGGCTATTCAAATACAACAAAATTACTCCTGGACATTAACAACTTTTATATATAGATAGCCTGCCATTATAATGTGTAAGTGGCAGTGACATTTCAACATACTAACATGAATCTCTCCATCAGGATAGTTGTTTCTCAGTGAATTATGTACCTTATAACCATGTTGGTTACCTAACATAATGTAGTGCAAGATTTTAGAAACGTATGGACAAAAAATATGATGCAATTTCATTATCCCTCTCAGTCATGAAAGGATAAAGGTAACAGCACAGTGTTTACTGTGCATATAAAATCATCTTAAATACATCTTAAAATCAGTGTACAAGATTTTAAAATGAAGTGGTTTCCAAAGTTCTAATTAGTATAAAAACAAAGAACAGATACACATCATTTATAAGATTTTGTGTTGATATAATGAGATTTCAAACTTCATATTCTCAAAATGCATGACTCTACTTAATTTTAATAATTATTAGTTTAATATGTACAAATATATGCAACAAGATGAATATTTATTATTAACAAAATAATATTTAATCTCAATTTCCAATGTTGTTCATCTCAGTGTCACTATATATATTTTAACTTGTGATGAATTATATTAAACACTGAAGGTCTTACATATAAAAAACAAAACAAAATTAATTCCAAACTACAAAGAACACAGGTAAAGGGTTCAATATAGCATATACCCCAACAACAAGCAATTTTTTTAACATTTAACATGAGCTCCAAACAAATTTTAAAACAAATATTATTTATTTTAAATGATTGAAATCAGAGTTTGCAATGATCGATAATAACTTAAAGCCTAATATTTTTGGTTTATGTTTTGGTTGTAATCATATTGAAGAAGTATGAGGTGAAATCTTGTGCAAAATGCTTACATAGCTTAACTGTGATGGTGGTACACTAGTGGGTCTTAAATCAGTATGTCATCAGCAGTGGTGAAAGTTATTCTAATAGAAAAATAATTACTTGAGTGAATAAATGTAATTATATTGATCTAAAATTTTTACTGTTTAATTAGTGTGACTTGTCTTAAACTTTTACAAGAATGAAATTACTTCAAGAAAAATTTCTTAGGAAGTATAGATCATGTGAAAAGAAATCAGGTTGGTACATTATATATAACAAGTTGAAAACTATGAAATAAATTTATGGATTTATTTTTGTTTCTACCTAAAAGTATGTTCATTTCTCTTTATGGGCATTTCTGATATCTTTAGCCAGAATTTCACTGTATTATAATTATTTATCATCATTCACATCCACTAAAAATGTATTTATTATGTACTAATTTCCTTTAATCCTTTGCAAACACACTGATACCAAAGTCTCATGGGGAGCTATTATGTTAAATTTGATAAAATGATTGTGGCAAAGTATCAATGCTAATATGGAATGACTGTGGTATGTTTAAAGTAAGCTTTGCACACATGTGCTAAAAATGATACATTAAAAATTTTCAATCTCCCAAAAAGTACCTGAAGAAATAATAACATAACAAATAAAAATTATTTTGATGTTCACATAATATTTCATTCCTATATTTTACATTAACAAGACTTGATTCCACTACAAAAATAATTGAATCACAGCCATTTTTTCTAAAAATATACTTAAAATTACTAATCTTTAAAAAATAGCAGAGTTATTGAAAACAGTTTTACTAAAGTTGAGTTTCATCTTTAAAACCACAAGTCAAAAGTAAATAATTAATGTATTTAATATTTTTAGTATAGACAACTATCTTCTGTAGAAAAAATGTGTTTTTTGAGATTCATCGTGATGTCTTTTGCAAACCATTTTGTATATGAAAAAAGCTACCAATTTGTTCATCCTTATTACTATTCTGATAAATGCAATGTTAAAGCATGGTTTGGCACAACTTGTAATAAGAACAACTGCAATTAGTGGCATAAAAATTTGATTGTATTCCTCAGATTTACTTTACAATTCAAGAGAAATGACTGGAAATATTCCTAGATGTGCCAAATTTCATCTTTCAGGATCTTTAACTTACTCCAACCAGTACAGTTGCAGCAGTTACCTTATTGATAGATTTGCTGTCGAAAAATGGAAGTAATTTCCTCAATGGTTTTGTTTTTAGTTTCAGGAACCCTTTTGTAAGTAAAAATCCAGAAAATAGCCAGAAAAACTGTAAAGATAAGAAACGTGTAGTCTCCCATGACAGTCTGCAAGATAGGAGGAAAAAAAAACTGTTTTAAAATTCTGTGAAGAAACTGAAATAATTGATGTAGTATTAATAATTATTAGGTATTCAGTTCTTTTTAGTAGTCCATAAATAATATGACTAATTTATTACACTTAGGTATAATTATGATCAATACCCTATGTTAATGATTAATACATAAACTTTTTGATGTTACTAACTTTTACAGTTTGACAGACTTACTGACAGTGGCAATGTTGTTTAGTGAATAAATATTTTAGTGTAAAATAATTAACATTTTGATAAACAAAAAATATGAAACGTCCAAATTAAAAGTAAATTTAATGTGAAAATAATTTGTGTAAAACATTACATGTGACATATTGCATATCTTGGTAAAGCAGTAAGTTCAATATTCTGTTAATAAGTAGAGCAAACACTTACTGTTAGAGGCAAGAAACTTAATCCCACTACAAAGTTGGCACTCCAATTCACTGCTACTGCAATACTAGTGGCTATAGCACGTGCTCCTTGACCAAAAAGCTCAGTCACCAGGAACCAAGGAATCGAACCTTTTTATAAAAAATAACAACATCACTAAATCACATTTTAGAACAAATTCACAAATGTCAGATCCTCTGATTGATAACAGAAATTACTGAATACCATAAGAGCAAACAAATCAGTGGAACATAGTCAGATTTCTGGTTCTTGGATTAGAATTATCAATGTTGATTTCACATGTATATGATTAAGAATGAAACTGTCTCATTTGGGTTTATACAAGTAATGATCAAAAAGAAACCAATGTCTACTTTACTTTGTGCATATTCTAGCATACATTAGTGATAAGATTTCCTAATTTTTTTATGATTTTATTGTATAAACTATAAAGCCCAAAAGTTAGTGCTTCAGAATTATTTTAAATTAAATTTCCCTGTATACTTACCAATAGTTAACACTAGTATATTTTGAATATCATGTTCATTAGATTACCATAAAATTAAAATTTCATACCTGGACCAGTAGCAAACATTACAACAAATCCAATCACCCAGATAATACTCAGATATGACAGCCATGGTACCAATGTCTGGAAAATAAAATTTGAGAAGGATTTTTATAATAAAACCAAATGACTGACCTAAAAGCTTATATTTGTATGCTTTACGCTTCAAATATTTCAACAAATTTCATGACATAGTGTTTACAGTGCTTATACAGCAAATTAGTAGTATTAGATAAAAAGTTAAGAAAGAATTTTGTGATTATATTTTAAGCTTTTTTTTGCTTTATATTTTATTTGTAATTATAAAGATGCACAAAAAATCAGATAGAATTATGTTTCCATTGCAGTAAACAGACCCAAGAAACAACTACATAACAAAAAATAAAATCATGAAATTATGCTTGTTGGATTATGAAAATAAAACATCTTGTTTCATTTACAATTGACCCCAGTGGCTCAGTTGTGACTATGAGAGCTTAAAATGCTAAAACTTGAGGTTTCAATATTCATGGTGGGCAGAACAATTAGTCCATTGTGTAACTTTCTGCTTAACATCAAAGAAATATTTACACTTAATATTTAAATTCTAAGTGTCAAAATTTAATCTCTAATCTAAGACATAGATATAATCTTCATTTCTTCTCAACAAGAAGACATTTACTATTCATAATATTGTATGCATGTGTTCAAACATTATAGTCACCAATTTTTAAATATTAAGAATTCATAAAAAGGGAGCAATCATTAAACCTACCTTCAAAGCCATACAAAGGGTAAGTAAGACAGTGATAATTCCCATGCCACCAAGGCCAACTAAATGTAGGGTTCGACGTCCTGCTTTTTCTACTAAGACTAAAGAAACAATTGTCATCAAGATGTTGATGCTGCCCATACCTAGGGTAGCATACAAAGCAGTTTCTTTGTTTAGTCCAGCACTTTCAAAGATTTTAGTGGAGAAGAAGATTGCCTAAAAATTACAATAATCATACAGATCTATCAAACACTTTCAAAACATGAAATGTTAAATTTAAGCTATGTGTATTTATGAATAATTATGAAAAAATAAACCTACAATTTGCTATATACATGTTAAAATATATAAATAAGTACATGTATACAAGTTGTGTAAAAGGTATTTTATGTTTAGGTTGAATTAACTATTAATTCTTATGAAAGTTATATGTACATATGTGAAACAATAATACATTAAAAACAGTAGGAATGATTAGTTTCAAATCAAGCTAAAAGTACGACGATTTTTGGTATGACATGTAAACCAGTCAAAATAATGAATCTTGGAGTGACTAGACTGCATTGATATAACAGCTGATGTCCTTTCAGTTTATGGCCATCAAATTTGTCATGTAATAAGATTAATTTGTTTCTTAAAGAGATGCAGTTACCAAATATAAGTTAGATACACAATATGCTTTTCATTCAAGAAATGAAAAATTGAGTACATTAAGATTTTAAAGTAAATAAATGGATTTATGATTATTATAAAAGACTTTATAATTTCCTTAGTTGTCTGTAAAACAAACAAGTGTAGAAAATAAAATTTACATCACTTAGTACAGCTTTTAAGTATTTGAAATTTTCAAGTATTTTGCTTCTTGCCTGATAATACATAAAACAAAAAAAGGTCATTAAATTTATATCAAAAATACTTAATAATTCTTATTGTGATATGTAAAAAGGAAAAAGTATTTCTCCAATGAAATATACATAATTGTACACCAGAAACAAGTACTTACAGCATTAATACCAGAAAGCTGCTGAGATAACATAACTACTACTGAGATGATCAGAGGAGTGCGTAAAACAGGGTTAGTCCACATTTCATGAAGAGTCACCTGTTGAAATAGAATTATGGTATTGTAATAATAATAAAAACACTAAAGAGTTACATGTTGTTGATACATTAGAAACTTCAATAACTATATTATATTAAAAAAGGGGATGAAAATATTTTTCTTACCTTTGGTACAAGTTTTGTAGCTTCATACTCTGAACGCATCTCATCCATTTCATCATGGACTTCAATCGTTCCCCTGAACCAAGTCAAAGCTATCACACAAACAACCAAACCAAATGTTATGAAGTTGTTTACAAAATATCACTTGAGTATGCAGGTATATCATTCAATTCAGTATTTTAAAACCATTGTATCTTTTATTTCAGTAAAAGTTACAAATTATTTATATTTATTTTGAAAAAGTTGTATTTAAAATAAAAAATTAAACTCCTATGTAATAAATGATGAACATATTGAGCAGCAGAGAAACTGACTGACCACTTTATAATGATCAATTGGATTGAGATTCAACAATTATATCAGTTAAGGAAAAACTGAAGTCATTATCATGATCATGGAAACAATTCCAAAAGGGAAAAGTACCATGGATTGCCTCAATATCATCTTGAAAGAGCTTTCCTTCTAATCTATCACTTCAAAATTAAAGACAGTTGGCAAAGATATCATGAAGTAGCTTCGAGCAAAATTAAAGAACAAACAAATAAATGGTAGAACATTTCCCATACTATTACACCTCTAGTACCTTGCATTGTTAGAACAAATCATGTAAAGTCATGTGTCATGTGATTTTCTCTATATTTATCCTAATGTTACAGAGACTAAATACTAAAAAAAAGGGATCAAAAGACCACCTTACATATTTCCAGTCACTCAATGGCAACAGTTTGCACTGTTAAAGGTATTAACTCCTGTTTGCATTTGAAGTGAACAGTTTTCAAACTTGTTTTACCTGCCATATAACATTTATAATGTTCTTTGAGGAGTATGGTTGAATCCTGATCACTTTAGAGCAGATATATCAACTGAGTCATAGTCTATTGTCTGTTGCACTTAACAGTTTGAGGAAATAATTTTTCTCTTGGTTAGTTACAAATGGTTGACAGCCACAGATCTCCCAGTATAGGATATCTTCCACTTTGATTAACGCTCTAAATAGACTTCAATGACAAATGACTTCGAACAACTAGTTGTAACAATGGTCCTTAATAATGAGTTTCCTGCTGAGTGAGTAACCACTAACATGCTCCTCTTTAAGTCTTATGTACATATCTGTAAGCTTGCCAATTGTCTTGTGTACTAACTGTATTTCTGCAGTTATAGTCCCTATGTCACACAAGTATCTGCATGTGAATAAAGACTTTGCTTATTCACACATGTTTGCATATTTTCTTTGCTGTCTAAGTTTTAAATTATTCTCGATTCCACATTTTGTGAATTCTTTAAACAACCAGTAGACCTGAATGCCACATATTCATGCAACAGATATGATTTCAGTCTTTAATCAATGAACAAAATTTACCTGACCAACAACTTACCTTTTTGAGCAGCCAGTTCTTTACCTTGAAAGATTAAAATGTACCTAGGAGATTCTGGGCATAGTGGCATTGTAGCCAACATAAAAATTGCTGGAATCAGTGTCATACCTGAAAAATTAAGTGATTCATTTATTGTCCAATTATAAATTCTTCAAAAGATATGTGTAATCAAATTGTTGTAATGAAGGTTATTTATTGTAATGTGCCAAGTCATTTTCAGTCACTCTGTTTAAATCCTGTTACAAAACCTTAACAAAAAGTTCTTACACAAATGTTTAACAAAACACTGTTTTAACATTATGTAACTAATTATGTTTTCATGTATTTATGCAGGCATCTCAGTATGTAAAAAAATAGAGAAATTTAAAACAAGTTGATCTAATAGAAAGACCAACAGTATTGACTCAACTTTATCCAATTGCTACAAGTAAAATTTGTAAAATTTAAAATAATTGAACATTCATATTTACTACATTACCTGTGTTGTGGTTATCATCTTTAGACAAAGGCAAAACATTTCGTTTTTTGATAACCATTAATTACTGAAACATAATGCCTATTGCTATGTTGTGAAAATGTTATTGCATAATGAAAATTAATAATTATTAAATGTATTCATACAATTAAATGATTATAGAATATCTGAAAATGGAAGAGGAAAAAACACAAAATAATTATGTCTGAAATATGTCTAGCCAAAACTAAAAATTTACCAAAAACATATGGCCAGTGTTCTTCCGTTCCTAAAACTTGTGGGAGGCCCACAATTTGGGATATTAAGATAGTAATTGTAATCACTAACTGGTAGATTGTTCCCACAGCCCCTCGCAGATAAGTAGGGGAGACTTCGATTAGATACATGGGTACTAATCCAGCGTTTAGACCTACACAGAAAAATAAAACAATAATAATTAGTCTTCCCATGTTTTATTTAATTTTTTTATTTTGAGAATAAAAAAAACTAATTAATATTTGTAAGTTTAATATATTGAATAGAACAGACTACTGTATTAACATTACCTATGAATTTAGAAATTTTTATCACTATTATTCATATTTAATGTAAAATAGCTAATTATGTATTGCTATTACGATGTTTCCAAAGAACGTGCACTATTTAACATAATTTATAGAACGAAATAACTGTTTAAATTCAAATATTTTTAAGTCACAAATATTTCGATGCTCAAGACCCTGAAAAAAAATGCTTTACAGACCTGAGTTTAGACCGATGAAGAAACGACCTATTATAAGCATTTCATATGATTTAGCCATTTTTGAAAACACCATGAGACCTGCGGCAATGAAAACGAGAATATTATTCAACAGCAACGATCCTTTTCGTCCAAATGTTTCAGCAACATATGCAGTACCCAAAGCACCCACCATCCCGCCTATGCAGAAAATAGACACCATAATGGAAAATATAATTGTGACTGTTTGCTCTCCAGGTTCTTCATTAAAACGTTCAGTATACGTCGCATTTATGAACTTCATGATAACCTGCAAATATGGAAAGATTATTTATAATCGTTGATCATTTTTAAATAATGCAATAAACACAATTTTAATTCTAAGAACTAATGAATGAAAACAGAGAAGAATGTATAATAAAATGTCAATCATATTATATCTACTATATCCAGTACCGACAGACCTTTTTTCACAATACCAAAGGTCATAGGGCCAGCTGGGATACGACAGACATAGTAGTGGTTGAGAAGCTATTTATATTATTAATATAAATGTACTACAACCATTTTTGATTTACCTTCACAGTTGAGAATACACTGACCTCAATGTAAAAAATGACAAACGAAATATCTATAAAAAAAGACAGGTTTTCCTAAAAACTTATAAGTTATACTTGAGATGTACATTTCAGCCGTTTTTTTATTCATTAATGATAATATAGCACACTGTTCTGAGCCGCTTCGACTATATATATATATATATATAATGTTGTAAGCTATATTTTCAATATTTTAATTTAGTTGTTTGCTCGTGTAAGCTACTAGCATGATTTAGAAAGTTTTTTAAAGTAGACCTTAATACCTAGAATGATCATGAATTTTATTATGATCGAAATACTACGAAATTGCTAGAAACAAGAATACATTATAAATACGAAAATCAGTTAAGCATGTAGTCAAAAGTTTCAGTTCGTTCAGTGAGTGAGAATTTAGTGAAGTATTCAGATCAGTGTTAGTTATCGCATGTGTTGAGTCATTCAATCGATTAACCTCGATGTTTAATTGGACGTAAGTCGTACAACTATTATCGAGTATATATCTGTTTGAAATGAAAATAGTATTTGTGAAATTAGGGTTGTAACTTACAAATGAACGCAGCTGTAAAAACGTCATAGGAAATAGGAAGGAATGGGTTAATTTATCTTAGGTGGACCAGACTTTGCATTATTTTCACCAAATAATTCAAAAGAATCTGCCCATATCACAACAGTAAGTTATGTAATATGAAAATTCCCCCAGTATTTCATCGATAATTTTATGAGCTTAAAATACTAAAATACTTCTATAACACCTCTCCACTGTGAACAGAATGCAGATAGACTATCGTGTAACTACGCTAAAATACAATTCAATATTACTGATCAGTCACGCTGTGAAAGAAACAACACAAAGTTTAAAAAACTCATGAGTTAAATTAAAGAAGAATGTAATAATAAGTCAACAACCCTAATTCTGCTATACTCGGTGCCGACGAAGCCCTTCGCCCAATACCAGTTAACTAAATTGCATATCTATTCTACATCCACACATTATAGCGTTGCAATTCATTGTAACTTCTTAAGAGATCATTCGAATATTACGTAATGCTTGAGATCCTGAGTTTACCGAATGTTACAGGGAGGGAAGCGGTATCTTTTAGTTTACCTAACAAAATTAACCAACTTAAAAGTCCTCTGGTAGGACAGTGGTAACTTTACAGACTTACAGTGCTAAGATCCAGTGTTCGATTCCTCGCGGTGGACACAGCAAATAGCCAAGTGTGGCTTTGCTCTAAACCAAACAACAACAAACTTAAAAATCGTATTTTAAGCGAGAATGGTGCTTGTGTTCTACAACGTTTCGTTAATCAAAGAATCGCTGGACATGAGGTTATATCAACCTTTATTTATCTAAATTTCACAAAATAAAAAAAAAAAACACGTGACAAACAATTACTCCTTACTCCAACAATTTTATTGAACATTTCGCATGAACGAGACTACCTTTCCGTCACCCGTCTGGCTCTCTTTCCCCCTCCTTTTTTTCCCTTTTCTCTTCTCCTGTTTCATTATTTTCTGACTAAATCACCCTAAAAAAAGCAGCTTCTTGGATTTATTTTCCTCCTTACATCCAGAGAAACGGCCTATCCAAGTTGTGGGAAATGGAGATAAAAAGTTCTTTCAGGGGTAGTAAAATTCCCCTGATGGTTTGGTAATAATTATGTGGAGTACTATATTATTATTAACGGTGTTATACTCCTTTTTTACCTACTAAATTAATATATGTTGCGTTTTTACCATTAAGAACAACACTATCAAAAGTGGTGATGTTGATACCTGTCTGTTATATTCTATTGATTTTACGACTATCACGAGTTCTCCATCAAACTGAATTATTACAATCAATACTTTCTATCACAAATATGAAATTATATATAATTGAACAGTGATATCAGAAAGCAGAGAATAGAAAAACAACCCATTTACATCTGGTCACCTATAACTAATATTGTCTTACAACATGTCTATCAGACACAAAACCTATATATTTTAAATTATCATAAATATCTGCGGTATATATCCAGGGAAGAAGGATCACGTACTTGTTTCCTGAAATCGAATATTAAATCTACACTTTTTTTACATTGAGAATTTGATAAATTATGCAGTGAGCTTTGATAAATAACTAAAGGTACCTTCAACTCAGCTGCAAAATCACTCCTAACAGAACGACTACCACTTGTGCTCTAGATTTTTTTTAAGTTGCCCCTGTTGTACTTGTATTACAAGTATGTTCTAGATTACACCGAAATATCTTGGCAGCAATACAAATTTTACTCTTTCTTGAAAAAACAAACAAAAACATATTATTGAGAAAGTTACGGTGTATTAAATTCCACTTTTTCTACATAATAAACAGAAAAGTAAGCCATTTTTACTGTTACCATTGCCGATTCATCTTACGCGATATTCCATATATAAACCTATTAAGTTTTAACAGCATTTTACAGTTTGTGAACAGGTTATTATTGAAGCGCTAGATTTACTTTCCGTTGTAAAATGGACACTTGGTATAAGGAACCGCTTGTGAAAACACAAATGTTATGTTAAGAGTACAGTGGAATCAATCAATAACACTGCTGTTTTTTGAATCCCTGCAGATATTTAAAAAAAACAACACTTTGTTTAACGCGAATCAATTCAATAGTTTCAAACGAGGCTTGGTCTTATTTTTTTAGCTATTGCTTACTAATTTCGTAAGATATTCACTTAAGCCGGCCTAGTCCGATATTAAGGGTGATAAACTTCTGGTAACAAACTTACATCTCGAGGAGCATTGACAACACCAGTGTTGTAGCCATGTTGAAAAGCTGATCCTAAGGCTGCTGCAGCAATAGCGAACGACAGGTGGCCTGTCAGACCCTGGAGAAAAGAGATATTAAAGTTTTTGTTAGGGTTAACTACATATTCTAACACACACACACATATTTATTTATTTACATTTCATAAACAAAAGAACTGGCACGTAACTTATTTCTATAACTTTCTTACGTACGCAATAACAGCAATTTATACTGCTTAGGTAACGAACATATGAACACATCATTTATAGAATAAAAGGAATATATTATCACCTGGAAATATAGATGAATTGTTTATCAAAGATTTACTACACATTTTAAAAAAACCAGCGTACAAGTACTACGATCAAGTTTTAGCTATTTCATCTAATGTAAATATGTCTATTATAATATAGATATGTTTAATCTAATTCGGACAATCACTAGAATAATGAAAAACTGACATTAATTAAACAATTCCAATTTGTAAGATGCACCAATATTATAAAAAATATCTTAGAAGCCTATCAAACAATACTCTAGAACAGTGATTCTGAACGGGGGCGCAATTTGAATATACTGGGGGCAATTTGAAAATGCTACAATAAGAAATTTTTTTCATTTGGGTGTGAAGAGCGAAAAACGTTCCGTGACTCAAAACTGAGTCGTCTGATACTTGAAGGTAAGAAAAATTTGAATTTGTTCTATTTTTACCTAATTTTGTAAATTTAAAGCGGTATTATTAATTAAACTTCTATTTTTGGTAAATTTCTAAATTTTACATTATATTATTATACCTTTTCAACACTAAATTTGTTTTTATATTAAGGGGGCATCAATTTTTTTGAAGTGTCGAGGTGGGGCATGGAGCAAAAAAGGTTAAGAACCACTGCTCTAGAATATCTTCATATCTAACAAGAAGATACTTTTCAGACTAAACCTGCCTAAAAAAAAGAGAGAGTCTATGCTGAGCTTACTGTTCCCTAGTGCGAAAAGGAATTTTCTGCAGTTTCAGTTTGATTTTGTTACAACATTGGAAATGGCCATTGTTAATATGTACTAATTTGAGGTAAAAAAAAAAAAAGAGATAAATTTTCTGTAATTTCAGTCGTCTTTCGTTATATGTAAATCACCTTGATAAACTGTGTTAATTTGAAGGAAACAGGTTAATTTTTGATATTTTTTTACCTCGTCACAACAGTGTAAATTATCTTGTTAAATTGTATTAACTCTTTGTAACGTAGTAAGACTGATAATATTGAAACTTCTTTCTATTTTTATGTTTGACCAATAATATTTCCATTTCGAAGATTATATATATATTCATAAAAACTAAAATCGTCCAGAACTTGCACGAGGAGCACGAGTGTCACTAATGAGTTTGAAAAATGGTAAGTTGATGGAAGATTTAATACACCACACAAAAAAGATAACACGTCTTTTCCATGTTTCTCATTTGTAATAAACGTACATTTTATGTATTTCTATCATTGACACAGACAAATCTTATTAACGATTTCATTTCAATTACTTGGTGTTTCAGTTGCTTCTTGTATAGCTAGCACTAATTTTAGGTTATCATATTTTGCCTAAAATTAATGGAAATTGACGTTTGCCTGATTATTCAAGCTCCTCTCTTTACATTTTATCAATAAGAGCTCCAGAGTGAAATTTAACAAGGGCGAATATGTCATTTTACTATATTTGCTATATCCAGTGCCAACGGGGCCTTTCGACTGACACCAAGGCTCTTCAGGCTGGGTGGGACACGATAGATACAGTAGTTGTTGGGATACTATATTGTTTGTTTGTGTGTGTGTAATTAAGGACAAAGCTACACAATGAGCTATCTGTGCTCTGCCCACCACGTGTATCGAAACCCGGATTCTGGCGTTGTTAGTCCGCAGACATACCGCTGTGTCACTGAGGGGGGGGGGGTGCACTATTTATATTAGAAAACTGTTTATCAACAATTATTACGGTGTGATCAGAACGTTGGTGAAATGTAATTTTTTATCGATTTTATTTATGCCATCACAAATCAGAAATAGGGTATGGATTATTTAAAAATACACTATTGTACTTATTTTAATGTTAACGCCATATATTAAGGCCAGTGAAATTATATACGTCCGAGAAAGAAGGTGAGAGTATTCATTTCAAACAAAGAAGAAAAAAATTAACCACTTAGCAGCCGCAGAAACGGGTTAAGCAATGATGATTTCATATTCAATTTTGGCAAGAGGCCAAAGTCTCTGTAAAATGATTGCTCAACCAATGGAAGTGCTGGAATGTGGAGGCTTGTTTTTTCACTCGACACATTCCCGTTTTTTTTCTTTTGTTTGTTTTGTTTTTTAACAATGACATTGCTACAGTCAGTAGAAGAAGTTGATAGTCGTTGTATGTAGGTGGACATGTCAGTAGTAAAAACGCTATGTTTTCGTGAATCTGTTAGTTATTCTATAACTTTACTCAGTGTTATTTAAACATTACAGTTGTGTCAAATAATAAATAAATGATATAACAAAATATCAGTCAATAATTTTACATTCAACCCAGTGGCAAGGGGGGTGGGGTGGGGAGCAAATAAAGATTATATCAGGTTTTCTTAACTTTTATAAATTCTTGCAGGAGGACCTAAAATTCGTAGTTACGCCAGTAATTACATCTCTTTATATGCACCGTTAGTAACGGATATGTTTAGCATATAATGCTTTGTCACTAGTTCTAGTAGAGATTTATATTAATATCCGTTAGTAACGGATATGTTTAGCATATAATGCTTTGTCACTACTTCTAGTAGAGCTTTATATTAAGATCCGTTAGTAACGGATATGTTTATCATATAATGTTTTGTCATCATTTAATTGAAATAGCGAGCGACTTTCCTTGATAAATATATACAAATCTTTATTCCCCATTCAAAAGGACACTTTGCCATGGGGTCAAAATTGGAGGGGGCAAAACATGCCCCTCCGGTTCCGCCGTTTGTGGTTTATTTTAACTGAAGTACAAAATATAAACTTTAACTAACAACTAATCTAACTATGGGAGTATAATTATAATACCATTTAAGAACAATCCTCCGGCGGTTTTTCAGTAAGCTTAGAACCTTATAGCGCTGAAATTTGGTGCTCGATCCTCACGGCTGATACAACGCAAATAACCCATGATTAAGTTTGCACGAAAGCAAACAAACTAAACATTGATTACAGAGAACGCATCTTGTGACCATAGTTAAATGAAAGTTAAAAACAAATGATATTTACGTAGTATAGTATATTCATTGGCAAATAACATTACAAAATATATGAGAAGCGTAATTAAACAAATAAACTGTATTACTTACAGTACTTCTAATATAAGGCATGATTACTCCTTCAGCCTGCGAATAAAAACTATAATTTATATTAACACGTGACAATGTGATATCTGCAGAAATTATGCCGAACTCGGACAACACACGGCTTACTTGTACACATGCTCACGTGATTACACACCCATTGACGTCATAGCCAGTAGTGATGTAGCCTACTTCATCGAATTTAGACACTCCCTCTTTAGGAAACTGCACTAATGTGTTTTTACATTTGGTGCTTGATAGATAAAACGTGTGGCATGGCTTTATCTTAAAATGCAGACACATTCTAGTCTATAGAGGAGGTGGATTACAAGATAAAAATAAGTATGAGCTGTACGGAAATGAGTTTCTGTTCTAGACAAAATGACTTTGAAGCACGCAGATTTTTAATACAGCTGTTACGAGCAGTAACTTGGATGCTGTCAACCTCTGTGATGCTAACCAAGTGATACAGTTTCTTAACTTTGTCTTCAAATTTATCCTGGTCTCATTCTTTTAGGATCACTGACCTCAGTTTTATAAACACACCAAAAATAGTCTACAAAGACCTTATATTCAAGTTCTAAGGTTAATTAAAAAAGTCATCTCTAAAATGATAATATCGCAGCCTAAAGTATATCCCTTGCGTCAAAACATACCCTGAGGGAAACTTCAAATGTATTCAGAAGTTGAACTCATCAGCGAAACATGTTCTTCAGTCTAATAAAAATACTCTCATGAAACATCCAGATTCACGTCTAAAGAACGCATAGGAAAAGTTCTCAATCAAATGCTTGTGCTATTAATCTATATATTTACATGAAGTTAGTTGCGCATAAATATAGATTTATATAGCATCTGATTTAAAAACCAAACAAACGAAAAAAAAAAACAACAATTACATTAATAGGACAACATTATCTTCTAGTTCTACGCCTGAAAGGTTTAAGTGTATTGGTAAATATAAACCAAGTATGTGCATGCATGTCATTTCTTTGAACCAATAAAATCAATGTTTTTACCACCAGGAAAATAAATGTCGATCACAAAACAACCTCTAAATTTTGCTGTTAGAATATTTTGAACTGTATATAAGCTATAAAGTATATGTAACTGTCGTAAGTCCTTGATGTAAACTAATAACATGTAGTTGTACTAAAGTTACAATTATAATCAAACTTTAACGCTTTTATCATACAAAATGTTTTGCGTAGTGTACCAGTGAGTAAGCGGTAAGTTTACGGATTTACAATGCTAAAATCTAGTGTTCGATTCCCCCCGATAGACATATCGCAGATAGCTTATTATGTAGTTTAGTGTTAGAAAACACAATAATAACAAAATGTTTTTCGTAAGTTTCTTAAATTAAAATATGTGTTCTGTTCTAAAAACTTTCAACGTTAGGTGTATGAGAAGCCAGATATAGATTTAGAGAAAAGAAAATGTACGGAAATGAAATATACGAATAGTTGGAGAGTAAAACTAATTAAATATTCTCGTAGAATTATGCTTCCATACTAAAGTAGTAAATCAGTTCACTTTCAATAACTCCTCATAGATCTCGGGAACTACTTGTTAAAAATTTAATCAATATTACTTTTAGTTTTACGTGGTGTATTAATGATCTTATATTCACATTTTCGACAAAAATTTTGAAAATAGGTTTCTAAAAGCTTAATTTTATTATCCTCGAAAGAACAACAACAACAAAAAAACAGTTGTTGTTGTTTTTTGCAAAATAT